GAAACATACTCCGACGTATGAACATATATTTTGAGTATTTATTCGGTTGCAGAAGCGGAAAACCAGCTCCTAAAACATCTCATCTCGAGATGAGCATAAAATTTGCCTATCGAACAAAATGGTGCAAGATACATCTGACTTTACAGGTGCTCAAATGCCGTGGTTGAATGCCCCACTCCCTCCTTAGGCCACGGATCGGTTGTCTGATAAAATAGCTGCTCTCAAGAGAGTTATGCCTAATGTATCATGCTAAGTAATATAAATTAACGTTTTTAAATTTCTCTATGAGGATCAGTATCGCTTGCTTAAACAGATACTCCTTTTCCTGGTAACAGAGTGTTTATACCGCCAAACTTGCCACGATATAAACGAATAATTTCACTACAGTGGAAGATCGCATTCCTGTTCTCGCCCTCGTGAATTTCTTAGTCATGCAATGACCAAATATTGCCGTTATCATTATAAAACATTATTCATTAACGACTTTTCGGTTAAGTACACTAGCCATCAGATACGGGCAGATGAGTTCTATTTGCGAACGCGTGATAAGCATCGCGTGTGCTAATCTGATCCGAAACCAGACGATGCTGGTAAGCATGTTAATTTCGAATATACTGTTGTTGTTCAATAACCTGATGAATTAAGTGACACATATACTGAGGTAAATAATGTCTGATCTCTGTGACGTCTTCAGTGGGCACTGCAATTTCGGATATCGCATGGAATGTTCATGTGTTCATCCTATTTCATTAGCGTTGAAGCAGATTCGGCTGGCCATAAATCTTTTTTCTACCTAGCGATAAAATAGGCAGACACGGGTGAGGGCCAAAAGGCCCGATATCGCTTCTGTGCGGTTGGCCAGCCTCAGACACGAAATGCCAGTCGAAAGGCGTGAATCAGACGTGTTTATAGAGCAGACGAGAGTAATGCTGTCTGGATTGTGTAGTCGAGGGAGGAAAGGAGGAAAGGTCCATTTATTGATCCTGAAATTGGGAGGGGAGGGGGGGGTGCTAATT